TCGTTCCATATCCCACTTTCATTAGTGGTTTGAATAACCGGGCATCGTCCACCAAACCTTGTGTTGCCAATCTTTAGCTATTGCGGCTGTACTCCCCAGCTGAATCCATCGCAGCCGATCCATTAACGCAGGGGAAGCACAAAGCGTCCATAGTACTTGCAGGTATGGCAAAGCACCATGGCGCGCTCACTTATAAATGGATCGAGAAAATCGTTAATTAAAACAACCACTGCACAAATTTTCGATTTACTCACCGATTTACCGATTCTATCGCTTTCCAAAGGCGCTGATTGTTATATTAACGTTTACCTTACGATTTTCTCGTTAATTTGTCAGCCACAACCAGTTGAATACTTGTCCACTACTACTTTGGTCTTAAAATTGGAAATTGTAAGGAGTGATATAAGGTTGTAATAACAGGTGGACCACACATTGTTTAAATGTCCAAGCAGGTTGTTAATGCAAATGTAAAAAGGATGTTAAGCACGTTTTGTATTTCCTTACTTTGTTCCAAGTAAAAGTGATGGTCTGGAGCAGATCGCTTGTGCTGGTACTCGCAGTCAGTTTTATCCAATTTCATCCCAAGCATATGATGACTTCTTCTGTGGCAGTGTTGGGTTTCGATGCTGTTCATTTAAGTGGTGTGTCCTTCGAGAGGGTAGTTATCAGCTTTGCTAATTATGGACAACTCAGTCGTTGAAGAATTGCTCCAGCCCAGTGGAAGTATCTGTGGAAACTTGCAACGAGAAGCAACGGACAGTTGTATGTGTATGGGCGTTCAGGACAACTTTTGATTGGACCGCCTGCCAACTGGCCACCGTGTACCAGTTTCAGAGGATACTGAGCCGCATATGCACTATGGATACAGAGTTCAGTATTTTAAGCCTGTAAGTGGTTGCGAAGGTTATACCTAGACTGCATGAGCCAGTTCTACCTGGATACTACAGGAGAACTTTAGAATATTTTGCTGCTGATCTCAAGATAGGCAGCAGTGGAAAGCGAGACATGCTGTCCAAGAATCTTCGCACTGTATTAAATCGATGGCTTAAATGAGGTTTGCATCTAAAGGCCAACAAATACCCGTTACCTTCTTCTCGAACTGAATAGAGTACGTGTTAACATCTGTCGGGCCTCCAGATCTGCGACGTGCAGTTGAATCGCGAGACCTCATTGTTGTGAGCGACTTCAAACTTACAGCCCAACGTAAGCGGGAAGCCAACAAAGTGTGGCATGAATTGTTTCACCTCAAAAGCTCTTTATGCAGAACTATATCTGAGGATTTTCGTCCCTTCTACAAAGCGGCGGTAAGACCACGTCTAGAATATTGTGCACATGCTTAGGCACCGTACCACTAGAAAGACGTGGCCTGTATAGGAAAATTACAAAACCGCTATTAGGCTGCTTGAGGGCCTAGGTGCCAATCCGTACGCTGAACGCCCAAGGAGCTTAGGCGTGCATTCAACGGAACAGCGCATACTGAGTAGGTAGCTAATATAGCTGCAAAACCATAAAGGATTTTAGCGCTATCCACTATACCGTACTGTTTGGGTTAGCTGGGACATATGACCTACGGGGACACTGACGGAAGCTCAAGCATTAGAGATTTAGGCTAGATCTACGAGCAAAAGGCTCTTTGAAGCATGTGGTTAGTGCTGGTACAGGCTAACTCCAGCAGTAATAAAATGGAGCAAGGTAGAGGCCTGTAAAATGGTCTTGATAGGTGTTGGTCTGAACTTGTTCCAGAATTATTATGTTTTACCTTATCACCTCGCTGTCAAGCCGTACTGCATGACAGTATAGGGTGCTTCAGTTTTTGCCTCAATCACTCGCAGAAGTCGCGGAATTTAATAAGAAGCCTAAGTAGCGGGCTCCTGCTCACTTACCGGTGTAAGAAACAGGACGCTATTTAGGCGGAGGCCCCTATCGTCCTTGGAGGCTGAAATGGCCTGACACGTTTAGGCCTGAAAACGCACATTTAGCAGCTAAATATTGCAAGTTTTCTCTTTTATAGCCTTTTTCTGCCTCCGTAAGGCTACATCACCAACCTTAGTGAGCTAGAGGAGCCTGTCGTTATTAAAAAAGAAATAAGTATTTGAAAAGTTAGCAAAATGCTTTTGTGCGTGAAATTCATTTGAGCCTGCCTTGGTAGATCATTAACAACTATGCTTCTGGGGGTTAAGGTTGCCCGAAAGAAAAGGATTATGGTGCCACATGTGTTGATACACACTATTGTGCATATTGTGTTAGTTTGAGCTTTCTCTTAAATTGTAAAGTCTAAAGAAAGAGCCTGCTCTGTTCAACAGGGTGAGGTTGTTAAATGCGCCTGTGAGGTCGCGTGACCTTGGTAGCTTTGTTGGTGAGAGCTGCTCTAGCACCCTAAGCAAAGAGTGTTAAGGTATAACATGCGTAGAAAGTACGTAAAATGTGCAAGTTTGTTGTGCGCATACCACTATTCGTAACGCATGGTAGAATGTAGAGCCAGGTAAAAGATAAAATTACTCACGGACAGCAGAGATAAAGCAACGTAGTGAGCAAACTTTTCCGGATGTCCAGTTAGACAGAACGACAGGGACCTCGCTGTCGCTTGTTTAGCCTACCTGCTAATAAAATGGAAGCTGGAAATGCGAAGCGTTTACTAGGAAAAGCGATAACAGCAGAGGTTCTAGTTTTTATGACGCCTGTCTACCGGTGTTACCAATGGTGATCGGCACGTGTAAAACTCACCTAATGCTAAGTATATGAGGCCAAGAGCACAAAATGGAAAGCACAATGCCTGGTTCTTGGACCTATGGCTCTTACAGTGTTTACTTAATCAACCAGATGGAATATATACATTTTTGTTCGTGGCATATATAACGGTCACAACTGGAAACCGTGGACTAAAGTAACGATTACCTAGGCATAAGGAATCGCATCAATTAAGGTCAAGTGGCAACGGACGGTTCCAAAGCTTCATAATAGTACAGCTAGAAGTACATTTAGAGAAAGTTTTGGAGAATTCTAAGGTTAGGCTTGGGTCCACTCTGTAACGAGAGCAACAGTAGACACTAACACCTTATACAAGGCTTAGGTCTGGTAGCATGCCTATACTAATCTACCTCAAAGCTCATAATCCATATACTTTTCACAGCAGCAGTGGTCTAAGAAGTGGGATAGTGATAATGCGTAAAGCTGTAGACTAAGGAATGAAGGTGTAGGTAAGGTGGAGGGGCTGAAATTTGTCTGCTCGGATGGATTAGGTGTTGCCCTGCAATATCTTATGTGAGGAGTGCCTGAGCATCTGCAAAGCTGTTAGTCAGTGGACCAGACTGTACTACTTGTTGAGCATTTTGCACAGTGGACATTTTTAAAAGAAAAGCAGTACGGTGGTAATACAGGTTGATCCTTGCGGCCTTTGGACCAAAGTGTCAGTGAAAGAACCGAAGCAACTTAGAAACTCATTGGAAATGGCTAGCTACATGTTGTACTCAGCTTTCTAATCTAAGCACCTGTACGGTGCGTGCGACGAATCCAGTTGAGAACTCATGGGTGTTGTGCCAGCCATAATGGCTAAGATGTAATCAAAGAGTGGCGAGTAATGACTACTTATGGGGCTTGAGATTCCAGTTAACCCATACAGGTTGCTTAGGTGGTGAATCCTACTCCTCCCATGGTGCAGTCTTTAGGTCTAAGTGTCCGTAGAAGGTCAAACAGGTCAACAAGAAATCAGTAATGACAAAAGTCAACTTAAACCCTGCTTTCGATGCCAAAAACCCTATAAAATGAGTGCGACGAATGCAGCTAAAGTCTCTTACGTGCGAAGACGGTAAACACCAAGAATGTGCATGAACTCTGAGCTCAAGGTGTTTAGCGGTCATGCAGTGAGGTTAGGAGGCTTCAAGCTACATCAAGGCCAGTTACGCAGAAGTGCACTTGTGAATCTCTTATACTGAAGCTGCGTTGTATATTGGCAAAATGTAGGACTCTTAAATCATTTTCCTTAACGTCTGATAGTTTTAGTTTCACTTAGTTTGGAAGGCAACTTGTTCCACTGGTTTACTTACACAAGTAAGAAGAAACTTGCTCATAATCTCTAATGTCCCTTAGGTGAGTATTACAGAAGAACAGTACGGGAGTTGAATAATATATATACTAAGCGGCTCTGTATCACATAACTTAGTCATGTGTTTCGGTGCCGGCCCCCGTAGCTCATGGTCTCATACACAGAATAGGAACCGTCGAGTTGCAAGTTCAAGCTCTACTTGAGTTTGACGGACTCCGCACTGCTGACGATTCCCGAAGGAGTGCAACGGAAGTACAGTGCTTTTCCGGGCTTGTGGTGGCTACTCGATAGGGGTTCTATATGCTATCCACTTTAGGGAGAAAGCAAATTGTAGGTTGTATCTACTGCGCTAACTAGACCGCGGTACTGCCTTCTTCTGTAGCTATAAAACGGTAACTGTCACCGAACCCCCAAAGGATGAAACGACAGTTCGCTGTTTTTCAGATGGCAGTGAAATTTTGGTTCTCCGTGCTATTGCAGTGGATTGATTCACCCCTAACTAAACTAGCCTGCTTTCCAATTACTTGCAGATCCAATACAAATGATGCCATTTCAAAATTAGTAACCCCATGTTTCCTTTGCTCGCCTTAACTGGTTTTCCACTCAACTGAAGTTTACAGACTGCATGGTCCTAAGCAAAGGCAAGCGCCGATGAGCCACTGAACGCACATGCTTTAAACCCCTACACAAATAAAAAAATAAATTCTTCTATGAAACTGGCTGCTGGGTACCCTCATGAGCTTTGCCTTCACAATATTATGTCGCTCTGATTGATCGCGGTGAAAATTCAATTGGGAGAAGATATTCTTTCAATCAGAAACTCGTCTTTCTCATTATCAATACGCCGGCAGTAAAAAGACAAGCTTGGTATTTGTTGGTGTTACTTCAGCGCTAGATTCCAACAGCTTTGCGCCTGCCACCCTCGGTTAGAAACGTCACAATATTAGCTGCTTTCTGTATGAAATTGATATTGCAAACTAAAGACTGTGTCGAAATTCCCAAGTTTATCAGCTGCACTAGAAACTCGGCGGTCAGTTGGAAATGCATACACCGGGAGACAAGTAGGCTCTTGTCCTTCAGCATGAAGCTCCATGCGCACACATTTAAGGAAGCAGCGGACTCCGACGATTGACACGTATCATGTTCCCACTTGAAAATCTCTGACCAAGAAGGTCCAATTCCATACTTTAAATATAGTGAGCACTTCAACAGATAACGGTTTACCAAGGTGCACCCCTGTGTTTCCTTCCACTTCAGCATCGCTAGCAAAAAGTAATTATATTTATTTATACATTATGGGTGTCGCTACTTCACTTTTTCCAATTGGTTGCCCTAGCCTCGGCCCTTTCGCATATCCGTCTTTGTCAATATGTAGTTTACTTCCTAGTAGCTTGTACCAGGCTATATACACATGCTCGCCTGACGGTGTGTCTAGCCTTCGTCCAAGATCCAGGTAAAGCTTCTGGAAGTTTGCTAAAAGTTAATTCATTAAAACAACCTTGAACTTAGTCCTAAGAGGTGATCCGACTTTATTGACACTTCTACATCCAATGTCCTTGAAGAGAATGGTTGAAAGAAGTTGAATGGAACCACTGGAAACTTATGGTACAGAAGTTGCCAGAAGAATAAAGTGCTCTGAATTTGACGAGCATGGGTAACTCATGGAAGAAACGTACTCCGCTATATCAAAAATTTGTAAGTAATTTGCGTGCGCAAAATGTGGCAACAGCTCGTAAGCTAGGCGTATCGAATGCCCAACCCGCCCTACTTTCCCTAGTTATGCATAATGCGGATTCACTACGAAGGCTTCGTGACCATCTGCACATGCACATAATACTTAAACTCCATTTCCACGAGTCAATTCGACCTAAACTCGTCATAGAAAACTCCCAGTAAAGTGTTAAAACAACCTTTCACAATTATATTTCAATACATGAAAACAAATAACGTAACTGACAAAAGTTGACAGTTACACATAGCACTAATTACGCGCTCCTTGTTGCAACATCACTACACAATTCTTTACAGATAACTTATCTTAGCTCGTGACTTCGTATCTTAAACGGCATTATTTGTGGAGTTGTGGAACTGGCAAAATTCGGTGATGCAGAACTCATTCCGCACTCAGACATAAACTACTAAAATGTGTTAAAAGTTGTTATTCATGCGCTGTTTCACACTCGTGGAGACAATGAATACCGATTTTACAGAGGGTAAGAGCTTTTTAGCTGATTTTAGCATTAATGAAATCCTGCATCAACCTTAACAAACAGCTCGTTTGCGTTGCCTTCCATGGAAAAATCTGCGTACTCTACCCGATTACCATTAGCTATTCGTGCTCTTACATCTGCGTCAATCATTTGAAATATAACACAAAAGTACGACGTGTCACAACAAATCCGTACGTCTTAATGAATGGTTGAATAGTCGTTGTTAGCAAAGGGCATATTAACGAAGTATATATATATAGATATATATATATATCGCAAGAAGACACGTAGGCGGTACGACTAAAGCAAACAATGGTTTTCGATTTGTTCACCATCAGGCTTTGAACAGTAAGCTAATTTGAGAAGGAGTTTATACGGGAACCAGAAAGCAACTATTGATTAAACAACTATTTTAACGGTAACAGAACGTGTTTTGGGCTCAATTGACTGAAGGCATGTGACGCCACCGTGTGAGGTCCGATCCATCTTTGTTAGTGGTTGGTCAGGGAAGTTGTAGCGCTTGGACGTGCTTCTTCTGGATGCATAGATTAGGTTGTGTCAACCTGATGCATACCGCTGCCGCGGTAGCAATTAGCTGAGCCCATGACCGATGGTGTAGTTGCGATTGCACGCGATAGAGGATCTCAATTGACTTGCGCTTGTCAATCAGATGACTGGCGTAGATCAGATGGTTAGTTATGGCACTCAACTTAGTTTTGTCCCGTTGGGTGACGAGCGAGGTTGCTAAATGTTTTTTGATTCGCTTTACCAAGTGCGTGGTCCTGTACCTAACGTACCTGGCCCACAGGAGCAAGTGAACCGATAGATTACCATCTCTTGGTTTTTCTCAGGTATCCTGTATTGAATCTAGGAACAGAGCTCGAACGGCTCGTAAAAGCGACACGTAGTTGAGCTGCATCAAATGTCCCTTGGCAAATCTGTATCATTCTTCGTGTGCATTTCTCAGTCGATATTTCACCCGGTAAAGGTAGTTGGAGAAATAGCAGTTTCTTCTCTACCGTTTGTACTGTTGGTCACGGACTACTAGGCTACCTTTGTAGGTCAATGAATTGTTCTGGATAACTGTTTTCGAGAAGCGTTTGCCTGATTCACATCATTTTATCTTCGATTGTGTCCTCACTACAGATCTTCCGGACAAGATTTGCCAGTATGTACGAGTGTTCTTTTGTGGCTAATCGGCACAAAACTCCGGAAGTGTGTGTATTGGTCTGTCCAATACTGATTTCTGTATACTCATATCTGAATGGATCCGTATTCTCTTCACTTTAAGTTTGCATCCAAGAAGTGCATTTGGTTGTCAATTTCTTCCTTAGCAGTGAAATTGGCGTTGGGATGTGCCTTGTTAAACACTCAAAGACATTCTGCAAGTGGTTCGTCTGCGCATTTATACGGAATATGTCGTCAGCATAAGGTCGGTAGAAATGTGGGTCCGAGATGACCGATATTAATGGGCCATCCTCTAACATTCCCATATGTATAGCAGTCAATATTGTTCAGAGCGGTAATCCCATCGTTACGCCATCTGCTTGTCTGTACAATTCATTGTTGAATTGGAATTGGATGTTGTAAGTGCATCTAAGTAATGGCTGCTTTAAGTGGACAGTTGGTATCTAGACCTTTATCTCATGCTGCTCCAGGTAAGTATAAAGAATTTTGACTGTTTTTAGAAGTGGTATGTTCGTGAACACAGATATGAAGCACGGGAAAATTATACGATAGTCTAAGAGGTTCATGGTTTTAACCTTTTTAACAAATTGAAAAGTGGCCGTAAATTTCTGAGGGGCTATCCTTTCCTTAATATAGTCCGAAATATACGTTAGCCATTTTGTAATGTTGCGATATCGTGAGTTCCTCATATCTACTATCGGTCGCAATGGTGCACTCGGCTTGTGTATATTTGGGCGACCGTAAAATCCCGGAATTATAAAGCTGGTGGCTCTTAGATTTTCACATCTTTCTTTAGTTAGTGGTTTCAAACCCTTTGTCAGTTGTGCTTCTGCGTAATCAATTTTTTATTCCCCCGCTCACGTCGTACAAATTTGGAGGAGTCCGAGAGGATAACATTTATATTTTGCACGTATTCCGTGCTGTCCATAAGCACAGCTCCTGAAGCTTTATCTGGTTTGGTGCTCGGGTTCCCCAAGTCTTGCTGAAGTTCTCTTAGGGCATTGATGTGTGTCTTTGTTAGTAGTCGAGAACGTGGCATGGGATATCGTTCATACTGAGAAGGAATTTTGACCAAGTCCGACTTAAGGTGTTCGGGACTTGTGTTGGGAGTGGCTACTAAATTACATACCTGGCTGTTAAGTTATTTAAATTGTGTTTCGATTTCTAGTCGTTGATCATTATTTTGTGGATGGCAAGACCTATGGACCAATGAAAGCGCCTGAATTTGTCTAGTGTCTAGTCGTAACTTTTGCTCAATACGCACGATGCCCATGTGCCACAAGTTAAATACTTACCTCTAAAATGTCAAATGATAAATAAATAAGTAGGTATATTTCTAGACTGGCTAGAGGCTGCACCCTTAAGTGTTCAGACCAATTTTTACAATACTAGTATGCTCTTGCATGGAAGTAGGCAACATACGAGTATGTGTTCCTAGTTGGCGATTAAACTGCATTGGCATTGTATGTTATACATCTGTTGGGGTCGTAGGCGCCAACGTTGAAATGCTTTTGGTACCTTCGGGCGACATTGATCTCCTTGTTCTTTTGTTGTGAAAGCTCTGCAGATCGGTAGTTGTGCCGTTTTCTAAGGAACAGGATCCAATTCACGGCGAGCACTTTAATTTCATTGGACTTGCTGGCCCGCTCAGTCGTCACAATTATTCGTGCGCATATGGAAGAAACGAGGGTGGCGGAATTATAAGAGATACGAAAAGTTAAAAGGAAATTTCGAGAAATGTCTTTGACAAGAAAAAGGCCTTGTTGAGTGGCATACTAAGGCGGCGTGCTTCACTAGAAAAATACGGAGTAACAAAATAATATAGCCAAAATTTACTTGCGCTGATATTGATTTCTGTCGCCTAAATTCCAACCTGAGTAAATCTCAGAAAAATCAGCTCCGTTTTTAAAACTAGAATACTACATAAAATAGCACAAAAGAAGGTTGCTCAGGACAGATTTCAAATGCCGATTACGTTGAAAGTAAATGCGAGGCAATATGTACAGTAGTTTGCGAGTTATTCGCAATTGAGTGGTGGTCTACGAATAACGCCATTATTCTTTTTCGCTAAAATGTGGCTCTGCTTTGCAAGCAGATAGCAGAAAAACAAGCAGAAAATGTAAAAAGTAGCGAAGTGGTGTGGGTCCTAAATAGGCCTAGCTACCCATAAATTTTCCGTATAGCCTGTAATACCCTACAACCACTAGGGACTTCGTAGGTGGCCGAAAAGCACACTTTGCAGACATACATGGCAAATATACGCAAACAAGCTACAATTTGCAAGAACGCACTAGAAATCCAGTAGGGAATATTATATGTGCATGATTATTCAGGAGAGCTTATAATTAACCCACTGTTTGCTTGTCTCAGTATACCATTTTCCGTGGATACTGAGCCACATAAACAACAAGAAATATGGAGTTTAGTATTCTTTAAGCCTCTAAGTGGTTCTGAAGTTTGCTTCAAGGCTGCATGAGCCAGGTCTATCGAAATAACACAGGAGACCTTTCGGATCAATTGCCAAATTTTTTTTGTTAATTGGTCTTTTTCTACTAAAGCGCGCGGATTTATTTACTCTCTTAACAAATTGTTTCTATTCTTGCCTGCATTTATCGAAAAATTTTTTAAAACT